CTCGATCTCGTCAGGTTGAGTCGTTGATGGCTGAAGTGGCTAGTCTTCGGCAAGAGGTCAGAGTGCTTAGGCATGAGAATAAGGAGTTGCACATGCTCGCAACTAATTACTCAACAAGCATGAAGAGGAAGCTTGATCAGCTGCAGGAGTCCGAAGTGCGGATTCAGAGTGATCATAAGAGGTTTGTGGCGTTACTCCAGAGGCAACTTCTGCCTTCGTCCTCTGGCGCTTCACCAAGTGTTGAGGCTCCGGATAATCAATCTCTGGTGCTTCGTCTTTCTGGGGCTCTATCGACTGCTGAGATTTCCCCTTAGCAACCTTTGTGAAGGCTCCCTCTTGTTTGTTTATTTTGACTCATGTATATGTACATATTCGTAGCTTATCGGAAATATTAATAAATAAGCTTTGCTTCATTTCAACATATTGTGTTAAATACACCAAAGCCTTCTTCATAAAGTTCTTTGAATTTTTGCTTTTGTTGAAAACTGTATTGTTGAAGCTTTGTGAGTGAAGCATGTAGTTTGAGGTAGTGTTCCCTTAATTTCCCGAGTGAGGAAAACTTCTCGGTTGGAGACTTGAAAAATCCAAGTCACTGAGTGGTTGTGAGACTGCCGAGTATCAAGGTGCAGTAGCATATGGTGGGAGTCCCCCAAGTCTTCAGGCGAAGAGAGTTGCCGAATGAGGTGTCTAGCTAGTAGTCAATGTCATGAGTAGGAAAACTTCACTTGTTTCTTTTCGAAGTGGTGACCCAGGGCTCTTTCTTCATATATTGTTTTTTGTTATGAAGATGTGTTAGGCCCAAAGAAGTGGAGGCCTAGGCTCCTTTTTTTTTTTTTTTTTTTTTTTTTTTTTTTTTTTTTTTTTACTCCCTCCCTTTTTCTTTGGAATGTTTGTACAGATATCTATAATGTGTCCTTTGTCATGGTTTTGGAGGATGGGTGTATTCGAATCCAATGAGGGGTAGGGTATGACTCATTATCATGTGCCATGATTTTGTCTTCCTTTAGCTTTTCTTTTGCTTTGCTTTACCATTTTTGCTTTCCTTTAGTCTTCCTTTAGCTTTTCTTCAATATAACACCATTTTCTGTGGCTCAGATCGCAAAACCATCTGCATGAAAGTTGTTCCTTAGCTCGTGAACTACAACATATCCGAATTGGAGATCCATCGGAGCAGTACAACTCCAGAAATTCAGGTATGATGAGTGATTGTTCGTCATTTGTATATCAACGCGTCAGACTTGTTGTGAGCTTCAAAAACTCCATTTTCTCTTGCTCAGATCAACATACTTTCTTCATTGAAGTTGTGCCTCAGTTTGTGAACTACAACATATCCAAATTTGAGATCCCTCGGAGCTGTATAACTCAAGAAATTCAGGTATGATGAATGACTGGTTATCATTTGTCTGTCAACCCGTCAGATTTGTTGTGAGCTTCGAAACTCCATTTTCTATTGTTCAGATCAGCATGCTTTCTTCATTGAAGTTGTTCCTCATCGTCTCTTTCATAACATATCAAAAATTCAGAATGAACTAATGGTTAAATATTTCCATATCTTCGAAACATCACAGCAGCTTCGAAATCTGCAAGAATCCGACTGTCATGTTTGGAGCTTAAACACTTTAATTTTCGTCGCTCAAACAGAAATGGTTCCTTCTTGAAAGTTGTTCATATGCTCAAAAACTATAGGGTGTCCAAAATTCAGCTCCATTGGAGAAGAGCAGATGTTGCAGAAATTTGATAGATGAAAGGAGGCGGAAGAGGGAGGGAGAGAAAAAGTCTCTTGGGTTGGATTTCTATTTTGGGGCAGATTCCAAGTTTTGTAGCACCTTCATTATTGATGAATTGCTTGTACTTTTGTCCATTATGAAACTTGGGACTTTGGCTTGTTGTTGGATCTATTATAATATGTTTGGGAACATATATAAGTGAATAAATAAGAAGGAAAATTTTGGGCCCTTGTGGGTGTAAAACAAAAAAATGTTTATGTTTACCCAAGTGTTTTTGTACAAGTTCAAGGGCATCTTGGGTTTTGTGAACAAAATTTGTTTATTTGGAGCAAGGTTTTGTGTTGAAGCTTTGTAGGTGAAGCTTTGGAGGTGAAGCTTTGATGGTGAAGCTTTGTAGATGAAGCTTTCTGGGTGAAGCTATGTAGGTGAAGCTTTTTTTTTTTTTTTTTAGGTGAAGCTTTGTAGGTGAAGCTTTTTTAAGTGAAGCTTTTCGGGTGAAGTTTTTTGGGTGAAGCTTTGTGGGTGAAGCTTTTTAGGTGAAGCTTTCTAGGTGAAGCTTTTTTTTTTTTTTTTTTTTTTTTTTTTTTTTTTTTTTAGGTGAAGCTTTGTAGGTGAAGCTTTTTTAAGTGAAGCTTTTCGGGTGAAGTTTTTTGGGTGAAGCTTTGTGGGTGAAGCTTTTTGGGTGAAACTTTTTGGATGAAGCTTTTTGGGTGAAGTTTTGGAGGTGAAGCTTTTCGGGTGAAGTCTTCCAAGTATTGGCATTGATCATGTATTTAAAGAAACAATCACGTAGGCCTGCCGTGAAGGCTTTGAGGGCAGTCTTGTCGTCTGCCTCGGCACACCGGGAGTATTCATGGCTGAAGCGGCCAGCATACATACGTAATGACTCGTCTGGCTTCTGGCGGATAGTGTACAAGTCATCTGCAGAGTGCAAGCGATCGGTTTGGAAGATGTGTTGGGAAACAAATAGTTTCCGCAATTCCTCAAATGAGTCTACCGTCTCAGGTGTAAGACGACAATACCAATTTAGAGCTCCACCAGAGAGGGTGGAGGGGAAGAGAAGACATCGCTCTTCGTCGGTGTGCATCCGGTATGCCATGGTGGACTCAAAGAGGTTAAGGTGCTCAATCGGGTCCTCTTTTCCAGTATAAAGTTGCAAGCCAAGCTTTTGCTTTGTCTTTGCTTGAAGGGGGGTGTTGAGGATCCTCCTTGTAAGAGGGTCAGGCCTGGGTTGGTTCCAGTCAGGTATTTCAGCCTGACGTTCAGCCTTCAACTTGTTTACTTCCTCAAGAAGTTGTAGGACAAGGGGGTCCTGAGCGGAGTTATGTGTCACTGGAGCTTTCTTTCGTAAATCTCCATCTCCTATTGGAATTAGGAAGGTTTGATCAAGGGCATGTGATTTTTCCCTGGACTCGCTGTACTGGCTTCCAGGGTATGTCTGTCGGAACACCTCTGAGTCCCATGTACCCTCATGTCTCTCTAGGACTTGTTGCCCCTTCCCCAAATTGGTGGCCGGCTTGGGCCGTGGCAGGGGACCGAGTCTCTCAGAAATCCTTGGGTCATTAATCTTTGAGCTTATATGGATGGAATTCTCTCGACGTTGCTTCAGGAAATCCCGACAATCGCGAAAGACGGTTTCGATCCTTCTGCCCCTTCAGCAAAGAGGTGTCTCCCTCCACTTCTCATGGTTCGGGTCGAAGCACCTGGGTTAAGAGAAGCCTCATGTTGATTATCAAGTCGAGGGGTAATCTGTTCCCTATCAGGGATATCCATGCCGAATGCATGTGACCCTCCATGTTGGAGGGCACCCAGTTGATGGTTGACTTCCACGGGGGCAACAAGCTCGCGTGTCTGAGCTTGCCTAGCTTCGTGGAGTGTCTCGAAGAGCTTCTCATATTGCTCCTGGAGGACCTCATTCCTCATTGCTATCTTGTTGTTCTGAGCTTCCAACTCATCGACTTTAGCTTGAAGAAGAACTCGTTTTCCTTCCTTCTTTCGTTGTTTCGCACTATGTGCAAGGGGGGTGTCATTTTGTGTGCTGTGGCTTCCTTCGCTTCCCATGCTGGAGAGGGATGCCTGATCAAAAGAAAGTGTACGAATGATAGAAACCAGCTTGACACAGCTGAAGAGAGTAGGAATAAGTGTCGTTTCCCACAGACGGCGCCAAATGTTGATGCACAAAATCAGCGAAGACTTTGGTACAACAGAAAGTGTCAGGTTTTGTGACCTTCGCTTGGTTACTTCGGTCACTGGTGAGGATAAGTATGTAAATGAATAGACAGAGAAGCAAACACAAGATATACGTGGTTCACCCAGATTGGCTACGTCCACGGAGTAGAGGAGTTCTCATTAATTGTGAAGGGTTTACACAAATACATAGGTTCAAGCTCTGGTTTAGTGAGTTCTAGTGAATAGTTTAGTACAAAATGACATTAGGCCATATTGTGGGGGAATGACCCCTATTTATAGAAAAACTTGTAGCTTTGTCACATTGACATGTGTCATGTTGTGATTGGTTCTTGACGTCGACACGTGCTGCGCTCTGATTGGCTTCTAATCTTGACACGTGTCGAGTAGTGATTGGCCTCCTGGTCGGAGGGGAACTCTTCTGGGTCCTTGACAGTATAGCGTTGGCCGGTGCTCGGTAGTTTCGGGATTGGTCAAGTATGGTACAAACAGCTTGGATTCCATCTATGAAACTTACAAGGAGGATGACGGTTTCCTGGATGTTACAGCAGCGAGAAAACCTTTGGCTAATCTTGCCATCTCCTCCCCTAATTATCTAATCGCCTCGTCCTTATCAGTGACTTTTAAGTATTGATTGTTAACTTGTTCTCTATCAGAACGGGCCTGTGAGGCCCGCTTCACTCTGTATTATCATGTTCTTTGTATATTTGATTCATTGTGAATTCTGTAAAGTTCGCAACTTTTAATAAATGCAACATATACCAATTCAGTATTGTCTCCCTTATCCTTCCTGTACCAATATATTTCCAAACTTTTCCTCCGTAAACTACCAAATCGAAGTTCAACGAAAAAAAAAAGGATTTTCTACGGTGCCCCAGAGTATGGGATACTCCGGGTGCTTTAACCGTTCAAATCTTTGTTTAAAAATAAAGAAATCAAAATCCAACGGTTAAAAAGTCCGGAGTATTCTATGCTCTCAAGCACCATGGAAGGAAAAATGAAACCGAAAACAAAGAAAGGTATATGAAGAGCAGACAATGATGTATTATTCACCATGTAGTCACAAACGATACAATGGTATTCATAAGTGAAATGAATTTGTTTTTAACACCTTATTCGATTATCTTTACTATTTTACACCCCCAAAGTTTCACGCAGCAGGAATTTTGTACTATTTTACTATTGGCCACAGTGCATCAGTAATTCCATGGACAATGACATCTGCCTCCGCAATGCAAGTATCATTCAACGCAATGTATGCCTGGTTGAATGATCCCATAGTAGTAAATCTCATCCATCCCCTCATCGAGTTTGAGGCACTGAACCAGTGATTTGCTGCAATCACCAAAAATGATTCTCAGTTCAATAGTATATTGGAAAAGAGGGTAAAATAGTGACTTCAAGCTAACAAGACTCTTCGGGAAGCAACATCTATCGTAAACAGCTTTACTGTTACGTTGTGAAGAGTCTGTTTCCACAAGGGTAAAACATGCAAATAGAGTTGGTTACGAACTTTTAATAAAAGATAGAACTGGATGACACTAAACAAATTAAATTGTTGTCTATATACGGTTTATTGTCATGTTGCTGAAAACATTCAGTTGCTTTCTGCTAAATACTAGAAGTTCAACATGAGTTTCAACATTTCAAGAGTGCACCAAATGGGCATGCCCCGATTTACCAAAAAAAAAAAAAAAAAAAAAAAAAAAAAAATATGGGCATGCCCCGAACACTACAGTCTTGAAGTTCAGCACATTTTTTAAGAAACACTCAAATGTTTTCAGAAAATGGACCGTGAGGACGACTGATTGGGCTACCCGAATCACAAAACGAATTAAACCCTAAAATCTTTCGCTACGACCAACCAAAAAATTGTGAACATTTTCAGTGGGTTGCAATCAGAAATTCTCGATATTGGTTTTCCACTGAACGCGGGTTCAATAGTAAGTATCACCAACATGGTACGCCATCACGACTCAAACACCTCCAAGAACTAGAGTCTCATTGCCTTTCATGGTGGGAATTGTAGCATGACGGCAGCAATAAAACCACCCTTAATTGAATGTTTGTTAGATGTTCTAATCCTTGTTTGCTCCTATGATTATGTAGCTAGGATTAGGCAAAATCTTTATCTTTACCAGAGATATACCACGAGCCATACTGCTGGTCTAGGATCCGTAGGGTAAACTCTGCATATATTTGACAGCCAGGAGGAAGTGATTTCGGTTCGGCTAACGCCAGAAAAAAAGACAGATGGGTTCCAAATCCATTGCCTTTTCCATTGGGATAGAGCTGCATCTTCCTGCACCAACCACCAACTCATTTCAACATTTTCAGATATACTGCGCTTAAGTTTTCGATATCCTCGAGAGAAATTTCTTATACCAAGAGCGAAGTCTAACAAGTCTAGTGTTATATACCATTTCTGGTCTCCAGCAATGAATGTTTTTGAGTCGTAGGATTCCGCATCTAGCTTTGATACGTTGTCAATCCTCCAAGTATTCTTGTACATAACAGGATCCTATACCATTGATAGACGCTCTCCTTTGCCTTTGCTTCTCTCTTTAGAAACAAAGACCTCTGCTCCCAACACATAAGTGTCATCTATGAGAAATCCATTTGAAGCTTCAGTGAAAGCTTTGTGGGAGAGAAGTTGATCGAATTCCCAATCGAGTTTCATCCCATGAAACTGTTGAAGTACAACACCAGCCCAAAGAATAAAGTCTAGCCCATGATGAAGAACCAAAGGAAAAAGCATATGCATGCTAGAACCTTCTAGCATAAGTGTGTCGGTGGGATGCATGCATATTAACAAGCTAGAACTGTCAAGCTATTGTAACATATGTGAGGTCATAAGCAAAGCCCATGTCGGTGGGCTGTTTGTAGAAAAGCCTAGAACAATGCTAGGATGAAATGAGTCCATTCCACCAACTTAGTAAGTCGGTTTAGCAAGCCTATAAATATGTGAGTAGTAAGAGTAGTTTTGTGAAGAGGGTGAGTGGTCTAGAGTTTGTCTCTAGAAAGTGAGTAGTGTCATTGCTTCTAAAGTGTCTTTGAGAGTTTTGAGTGTTGTAATATTTTGTAAGTGTAATACAAGTAATTTGTTTACTTGTTTTGTCTCTCCAACACTTGTGTTAGAGTTGTGTACTCTAATTTTTCCTTAACAATTGGTATCAGAGCGGTACGATCAGGGACCGTGTCTAAGGAAGCTTCCGAGAATCGTGAGAAGTTTAGTGCTTCACAAGATTGTTGACTAATCTTGTTCGGCTTATCGAATTTCTACCGACACAATGGGAGATCTTCAAGTTGTTGGAGGAATCAAGAAGTTGAACAACAAAAAATTACAACACATGGGCAACATGTATGGAATCTTACCTACAAGGCCAAGATCTTTGGGATATCGTCGGCGGTAATGAAGTTACACAGCTGAAAGAAGACACCAGCGGCACTTTGCGGAAATGGAAGATCTAGGCAGGTAAGGCAATGTTCGCCTTAAAAACCATAATTGAAGATGACATGTTGGAGCACATACGGAAGGCCAAAACACCAAAAGAAGCATGGGACACCTTCGCCACACTCTTTTCAAAGAGGAACGATACAAGACTGCAGCTTCTCAAGAACGAGTTGTTATCAGTGGCCCAACGAGACATGACGATTGCCGAATATTTCCACAAGGTAAAGTCTATTTGCCGTAAAATTTCTGAATTAGATCCTAATGCTGCCATTGTAGAATCCAAGATAAAAAAGAATAATTATCCATGGGTTGAGACCCAAATATCAAGGTTTCGTTGCTGCTGTACAAGGATGGCCGACCCAACCATCACTTATTGAGTTTGAATTAGCTTACCAATCAAGAAGCTTTGGCAAGCAAATGGGAGGGGTCTCGTTAAAAGGTGAAAAGGAAGCGCTCTACACCAAAAGTAAAAGCAGCTTTAAGCAACGTGCTAGTGGTGGATCGAAAAGAAATGGTGACAAGGAAAAAAGTCATCAAGGAGGAGGGAGTTCTCGGCCAGGGAAAGCTCTGAAGTATCACGACAACCGTGGTCAATCCCAGAATAATAAAAGGTTTGAGGGAAAATGTTACAACTGTGGTAAGAAGGGTCACATGGTGAAAAATTGTTGGTTCAAAAAGTTCACAGAGAGTAATGTTGCCAGCTCAAAGGAGAAAATTGAAGATGATTGGGACGTCGTTGCGTTTTTAGCCCTGGGGGAAGAATGGGACACTGAAGCATCCGTTGCTATGGAGAAGCAAGAGTTAGCTCTCACAGCAGCAAGTCCGGAGTCGATTGACTACCAGAATGATTGGATCATGAATTCAGGTTGCTCAAACCATATGACAGGTGATGAGAAAAAATTACAAAGTTTGACTGAGTACAAAGGAGGCCGCTTAGTGGTGACGACTAACGACTTGAGGCTATCGATTGCTCACATCAGTAAGACAGTAATTGAGCCCCCGATACAACACTAACCATGTGCCACTTCAGGATGTCTACCATGTTCCAGGTATGAAGAAAAATTTACTTTCAATGCCGCAACTAACGTCATTAGGAAATTATGTCTTGTTTGGTCCACAAGATGTGAATGTGTATCGACACCTTAAGATCTTAGGGACGCCAACAATGGAGGGACGGCGACTGCAGTCAGTCTATGTAATGTCAGCAGAAACTGCATACGTAGACAAGACAAGGAAAAATGAGACAGTAGATTTATGGCACATGAGATTGGGTCAAGTTAGCTATCACAAGTTAAATGTGATGATGAAGAAGTCAATGCTTAAGGGGCTACCTCATCTTAATGTGAGAACATACACAGTTTGTGCAGGATGCCAGTATGGTAAAGCACATCAACTACCATACGAAGAGTCGAAGTTTAAAGCGAAATAACTGTTGGAGTTGGTTCATTCCGATGTGTTCAGGCATGTCAAGCAACCATCGATAAGTGGGATGCGGTACATGGGGACGTTCATTGATGACTTCTCCAAGTATGTATGGATTTTCTTTATGAAAGAAAAATCTGAAACATTTTCAAAATTTAAAGAGTTTAAGGAGACAGTTGAAAGAGAAGTGGGAAAGAAGATATGTTGCATACGCACAGATAATGGAAGAGAATATACCTCAAATGAGTTTTCTCAGTATCTACGAGAATGTAGAATACATCACCAGTTCACATGTGCTAACACGCCACAACAAAATGGTGTAGCGGAAAGAAAGAATCGACATCTTGCAGAGATATGTCGAAGTATGCTCCATGCCAAGAACGTACCAGGAAGGTTTTGGGCCGAAGCAATGAGAACTGCAGCTCATGTGATCAACAGGCTTCCTCAAACAAGGTTAAAATTTGTCCCACCCTTTGAGAAACTATGGGATATGAAATCTACAATTAGTTACTTTCGAGTATTTGGCTGTCTGTGCTGCGTATTTGTTCCAAGTCATTTACGTAGCAAGTTTGACAAGAAGGCAATCAGATGTATTTTTGTGGGATACGACAGCCAAAGAAAAGGGTGGAAATGTTGTGATCCTACAACTGGAAGATGTTACACATCACGAGATGTGGTGTTTGATGAAGCATCTTTTTAGTGGTCTTCAGAAATAGAGGCATTGCCGGATTTGAGAGACATTGAGGATAAGCTGCAGCAGAAGATGGGGGAACAAACTGTTTGAATCCAATCGAGACTATATGAGTCTGAGGATTCACTTAATGGTGATGATATTAAGCAAGCAGCACCTCAAAACCCTTGGCAAACTAGCGTATATCAACAACCAGAAAAAGAAAGACCTAGTGAAGTGGAAGTATCAACTCCACAATCATAACTAAGGAGGTCAACAAGAATCCCAAAGCCAAATTCTAAATTTGCCAACGTAGCCATAGAGGAAGAAATAGTTGAACCTGAATGGCTCAAAGTTGGGAAAAGAGGTCATTACAAAAGAGCTAAATCAAGCTTGGAATCTCGTGCCAAAGCGAAGAGATGTCCATATCACGCAAATGGGTGTGCAAGAAAAAGCTCTGGCATTAACTCAACATGGAAGAAAGAATGAGCTAGTGTTAAGGGGGAGTGTTGAAGTACAACACCAACCCAAAGAGCCTAAAGAATAAAGTCTAGCCTATGATGAAGAACCAAAGGAAAAAGCATATGCATGCTAGAACCTTCTAGCATAAGTGTGTCGGTGGGATGCATGCATATTAACAAGCCATAATTGTCTAGCTATTGTAACATATGTGAGGTCATAAGCAAAGCCCATGTCGATGGGCTGTTTGTAGAAAAGCCTAGAACAATGCTAGGATGAAATGAGTCCATTCCACCGACTTAGTAAGTCGGTTTAGCAAGCCTATAAATATGTAATGGTGTAAGTAAGCTTGTAACGAAGAAGTGATCAAGCAACCAAGTAAGAGTGAGAAGTAAGAGTAGTCTTGTGAGGAGGGTGAGTGGTCTAGAGTTTGTCTCTAGAAAGTGAGTGAGTGTCATTGCTTCTAAAGTGTCTTTGAGAGTTTTGAGTGTTGTAATATTTTGTAAGTGTAATACAAGCAATTTGTTTACTTGTTTTGTCTCTCCAACACTTGTGCTAGAGTTGTGTCCTCCAATTTTTCCTCAACAGAAACCGCCTTTCCTTTGGTTCTGAGCAATGCATATTTTAAAAAGATTGGAAAATGAGACGACGCTTCACAAATATGAGAACTATAAGCCCTTTTTATTCGTTGAGTTAAAAGAAAGAAATGGTACCTTGAAGAACGAAGTAATTGCCGTTGTTCTGATTGAGTATAAACAACCTGACAACAGCGGACACTTCCGAAGAAATCTGGGGAGCAATTGCTCCAGACATTACCAAGTAGAGAGAGATGTGCTCTTTCACATTCCTATTCTTGTTTCCATTCGGAAAGAAAACCAGTTTCCTGCAACAAAACAACAATTTATAGTACTCTAACGCAACTCCAAAAAAAAAAAACACTAGCAATTAACGCAAAGCTTATGAAAAAAGAACAGTAAAAACTTGTTCTCAGAAATAGTGAGAAAGGATTGTACCATTTGTATCCTCTGGCTTCAAAGTCCCCAGATTCATATTTCTCCATGTTATGTTTGGTGAGCAACGAAATCGATTGTACTTTTACTGTGTAATGGGTTGGTGGTGCATCCAAAATTGTTCTCAGTATCCCTGAAAAGAAACATGTACATTAGCTACTAATTTCCAACTTCAACACACTCAAGCAAACAGATAAAGTATCTTACCATCTTGGTCATCGAAGTTGAGACTCATCATATCAACAAACTTGATTTTCCGATAATTCAATACAAGTTACAAAGGATTCAACCGAGTTTTCTGTTCTAGAACCAAATATGTTTTTCCGCTTATAAGGAAAAATTAAAGGTGTATTATTCCTAACTTGAAAGCTTTTAAGGATAGAATATTAATCTATGAGGAAACAGAATACTAGCAACAATGGAAGAACTATGGAACTAAGAGATGATATCGAAGAAAGGATGAAAGAGAGAGAGAAAGGCTTATTGTATTTCTTTATCAACAATATACTTCCTCTTAGAGCATTACATTTTAGGTTATATAGTATTTTCATCTTCTATACTATTACAAAAATACCCTTCAACTACCTCTTCTTATCACAACTATACTAACTAAGTCATTAGCTCTAAGCTTGACAAGTGTCAGCTATTACTCCCCCCTCAAACTCAGTGAGGAACTAGTAAGCTGAGATTGTTCTCGTGGTTCACAAAGTGGACAAGATTCGTGAGTGTTGTTGTTGAGACTGTTGAAACAGAACTTGCAGGTGATGCATCAGTACGAGAAGCACCCAATGCCAGAGTGTGACAATGTTTGATGAACATAGGACTGTGTAAACCCTTTGTTAGAACATCAGCAAACTAATCCTCAGTGGGAATATATTGAACCATAATGTCTTTCTTCTGAACTTTCTCTCAAACAAAATGGTAATCTGTGTCTAAGTGTTTTATCTTTGAATGAAACACTGCATTTGAATAGATTACCAATGCAGACAAGTTATCACAGTGTAGGCAAGGAGGAAATGATAACACCTGATGAATGTCTTTGAGAAGTGACCTGATCCAAAACACATATGCAACATAGTGAGCTAGTGTTTTGTATTCTGCTTCTGTTGAACTACGAGAAACTGTTGATTGTTTCTTAGATTGTCATGATATTGGATTGTTTCCTAGGAAAACAACATAACCTGTGATAGACCGCCTTGTGTTGATGTCTGCAGCCCAGTCAGAATCCGAGTATGCATTTATAGAGAAGTCTGTGCATTTTGTGTATCTTAAACCACATGTAATTGTGCCTTGTAAATACCTCAAAATTCGTTTAACTAAATGAAAATGCATCTCAGTGGGATTAGTCATGTATTGGCACACCACATTAACTGAATGAGTTATGTCAGGTCTAGTAAAGGTCAAGTATTGCAGTGCTTTTACTATGCTTCTGTATTGAGTAGGATCAGTCATTGGCACTCATTCTGTGATAAGTAGTTGTGTATGTAGTTTAGAAGGTGTGGATTAGGTCTGCAATTCTCCATACCAGCTTTATGCATCAAATCCCTTGCATACTTAGACTGTTTGAAAAACAAAGATCCATCTTCCTGATACTGAATTTGCAAACCTAAGAAGTAAGTGATTCTGCCCATATCTTTTAAATCAAATACCTCTGCAAGATCTTGAACCACTTGCTGAATTTGTGCCTCACTTGAACCAGTTAGGATTATATCATCCACATATAACACAAGTATAACCACATCTTTGTTATCAAATCTCACAAACAAACTTGTATCGGAGAGAGAGGTTTTGAAACCCAGAGATGGCAAATAACTTGTGAATTTAGAGTTCCAAGCTCCTGGAGCTTGTTTGAGACCATATAAAGACTTGACTAATTTGCAAACATAGTTTGGATACTTTGAATCAACAAACCCTTGAGGTTGTTTCATATAGACCTCTTCTTCCAAATCACCATGTAGAAAAGCTTTTTTAACATCCAATTGTCTTAGTGACCATCCAAATTGAGCAGCTAGAGCTAGAATTAGTCTGACAATTGTATGCCGAACCACGGGACTAAAGGTCTCTGAGTAATCCGTAAAGCCTTGTGCTACCAACCGAGCTTTATATCTTGAAACAGTCCCATCAGGATTCTACTTAACCTTGAACACCCATTTGCTACCAATAACATCTCTGTCATTTAGTGGTGGCACCAGATTCCAAGTGCCTTGTGCTGTCAAAGCATCGAACTCCTTTTGCATGGCTAATTTCCACTGTTGATGAGCAGATGCTTGCTTAAAAATTTTAGGTTCCTCAAAATCTATTATATTAGCTAGGAATGAAAAACCTCCAGAGAAATCATTGTCAATATTCAGATACTGTAATTCAGGCAATCAGCATAATATGCAACATAATTCTTCCTAGAAATTGCTCCAATTTGAAGCCTAGTTTGTATACCAGCGTTTGTAGGTAATAAATGTACACCTTATATCCTCCTGAGTATCCCAAGAAAACACACATCACAGACCGTGGTTGAAGTTTATTTGCAGTATAGGGTCTAATCCATGGATAAACTGCACTGCCAAAGATTTTTAAACTCTGTAATTCTGGAAGTTTCTTGTATAATAGGTAAAATGGAGATACCATATTCAAAGTCTTGCATGACATCCAATTTATGAGAAACATTGAGTGAGCACATGCAAAATACCAAAACTCGTATGGTAATCCAGCTTGTGTAAGCAAAGTAATTCCAGTCTCTACAATATGTCTATGTTTCCTCTCAGCAATCCCATTTTGCTGAGGTGTGTAAAGACAAGACACCATGTGCATTATACCTTTTTGAGCAAGAAAATTCTTGAACCGTGTACTTACATATTCTCCTCCTCCATCAGTTTGCAAACATTTAACAGAGATCCCAAACTGATTTAGTACAAATGCATAAAATTTGATAAAAATAGAGAACACATCTGACTTATTCACCAAAGGAAATATCCAAACATATCTTGTACGTTCATCAACAAACAGTACATAATGCCTATAACCATCTAGAGACTTTACAGGTGAAGAACCCCATACGTCACTATGTATCTTTTCAAATGGTGAGGTACATTTATCAGTTCTAGATGGAAATGGTAATTTGGACATCTTTCCTTGAGTATAAGACACATATATACTTTGACTATGGTCTATACTAACTGGAACCTGAGACTGTTTCAGCATAGAAAACAATATGTCATTGGCAGGATGACCTAGCCTCTGGTGCCAAAGTTGAGACTTCACTACTTAACCCACTAAAGCTGCTGGAAATGAAACTGCAAATTGTAAACCCTTGCTCATTTGAAAAATTGGAATATGGAACAATTCTCTTGGCCTACTCTTTCCTTGATACAGTATCTTCTTTGTCCGCTTGTCCTGCATAAAGAAATTAGTTTCATCACAAATAAACCAAGATTTATTATCAGCACATAGTTGTTTGACAGATAATAAACTTCAAGCAATCTGAGGAACATGTAAACATGTTTGAGGACAAGAGAACGATTATCAGTCTCTATAGTAGTATGACCAACACTCTGAATTGATAAATCAGTAACATTTCCAATTGTAATCTTTTCAAATCCCTCAAATGGCATGACTTGTGACAATCCAGTCATATCTGCTGTCATATGATGAGATGCTCCAGAATTAACAATCCAAGAGTCTGCAAGTCCGTATTGAGTTGTCTGTTGTGCATTCATAGCATTGAAAGATGGTGGTGGAGGATGACCCTGAAATGAATAGTTTCCTCTATGAAAGCACTCAAGAGCTGAATGACCCCTTTTACCACAAAATTAACATTCAATTTGAAATCCAGTTGCATAACATTGTTATTATTCCTGTGATAGCAATTTGCAGCGGTATGCCCTCTTTTATTACAAATTTGACATTCAATGACCACATTAGTTCTTGTGTCTGTGTTCCCAGACCAGCTAGGGTTGCCATTCTGTCTGAAATTCTTTCCCTTGAACCCACCATTATTTCTGTAATTGTTCTGTCCTTTTGAACCCTGAAAGTTTTTAGAACCATTCTAACCTCCATTGATGTTAGACTGCTGAGAGTTAGATCCAGAAGGTGGAAAACCTCCCATATTACCAGCAAAACCATAACCAAACTGTGGTGGATAAAACGGAACATGTTGTTGAGGCAAAGGATAAAACGGAGGTGGGACAGGATATTCTAGTTGCTATGGAGCTAAGTATGGAACTTGAGTAATAACATCTGCTGTAGTTGCTGGAATATGACTATGATTCTGAGGATTTGAAGTAGAACCAGATATAGTAGACCCAAAAGTCCCAGAATTAGAACTAGAACCAGAACCATTCATATAAAAGGCAGACAAATTTTGAGACAAGATAGTAGTGTCCCCTTCAATCTCTTTTTTAGCACCAAGCAATTGAGCACAAAATTCTTTTAGTGTAATGGAAGATTCCATAGCCAAGATGACTGTTCGAATAATAGTGTACTCTTTAGGTAAACCAGCTAATCCAGCGATAATAACATCATTATCTGAAATGAAATCCCCTGCTTCATTAAGTTGATCTCTAATATTCTTTAACCTCAATAGGAACTTATCAATCGTATCTGTCCCTTTTTGGACTGTATGCAACTCAGTTTTTAGGTGATTCACCCTTGACTTAGACACCGAAGCAAATCTATCTACCAGATTGGTCCAAGCATCAGCAGCAGTCTTACAACCAAAAACATATTACATGGCTTCATCAGATAAGGTAGCCAAAAGAAGACTAAGTAAAGCCATATCTGTAGATTCCCAATCTATAAATCCCCGTGTAATCTCCTTAATATGCCTAAATCTGCATGAATGACAAATTTAGGTGGACATACATATGTGCCATCAAAATGACCAAAGAGCTTGTAACCTTTAAGCAGTGACACTAATTGAAAAGACCATTTTGCAAAATTGTCATCTTTCAACTTAATGGTAAGCATACCAAGAAGACTATCCACTTTTGGTGGAGCCATGATTAACTACATAACAACTAAGTCACACTGCTTTCCATACAAAATAATTCTGCCTTTCACCAAGAGATTGACACTCTTCAATTTCTTCCGTTCACCAAGAGATTGACACTCTTTGATTTCTTCTGTTTACCAAGAGATTGACACTCTTCAAATTTTATCAACAAGAAAGAAAGACATATACTTTCTGTTTGAACAAGAAAGACTGGTACTTTCTTGAATTAACCCAACACCTAAGAAAGATTGATACTTTCTTGAAATCACACAAACTCTACCAAGAAAGACTGATACTTTCTGGAACACACAAGATTCAACAAAATTATTGAACACAATTACAATCTAGAACACAGAACTCATCCATCAGAAGAAAAAATCCCAAACTTCACCACAAATACAATCATCATCAAACACATCATATTTCTTCAACAAATCAATTACTCATAGATCAATCACAGAAATCGCAACAGAACTTTATCTCAAGAACCAATTAGATATCACCTAAGAATAGCAGATTCACCAAGAACGCATCGCAAAACCCAGATCGAAAACAAATCTTCGAGAAACCCTCTGAGGCAACGATAACCCAGATCTTTCAATGATTGCAGCGGAAGAACCTTCAAGACCGACTACAGCAGCAAGCCAAATACAGGCGATGATACCATATTAATCTCTGAGGAAACAGAATACTAGCAACAATGGAAGAACTATGGAACTGAGAGATGATATCGAATTAAGGAAGAAAGAGAGAGAGAGAGAGAAAGGCTTATTGTATTTCTTTATCAACAATATACTTCCTCTTGGAGCACTACATTTTAGGTTCTATAGTATTTTCATCTTCTATACTATTACAAAATACCCTTCAACTACCACTTCTTATCACAACAATACTAACTAACTCATTAGATCTAAGCTTGACAAGTGTCAGCTATTATAGAAATGTTATGCTTTGCTTCAAAAGGGTTGCCATTGTTTCATTTGAAAGGTATCCATCACCTGCTTGTAAGGAAAAATATAGGTGTTATTCCTAACTAGAAAGCTTTAAAGGATATAAATGTTTCAGATGACACTTGACCGCAGTGGCGGAAAGCAATCATGCCTATGCACCTTGGTGCGGGTTCGATCTCTACGCATCCCCTCCTCCCGAACACTAACAATTGAACCTAGCAACGCTATTGTTTGTGAAGAAAAAAAAAAGGATAGAACCGTCATGCTTTGCTTCAAAAGGTTGCCTTTTTTCATTGAAAAGGTATCCATCACCTGGTTTTAGGTGCTTCAAAACACATATTCTGCAATTTTATTTCTTATTAAACTGAACAATGTTTACGGTTTAGCATTGTCCAGGAAGTTAAGATTACACAAGCAAAACAAAGTTTCGGCTATAGACAAGGTATGTTAGTCGTTTGACATTACTGGTCAAGACTCGATATATTTGGCGCTCAACCATATTTTTGAACAAAAAATGCATTTCAATCATTTTTGAAACAAACTCTAGAACAATTTGGGTCTTTTACGACTTCAAATATATGGCGTACAGTACTAGCATGCCTTAAATGATATTATTCACGACATTCATAAAGTTCATGTCGTAATACTTGCACATAATCTAGCATTCACGGCATCACTTTTGTGCAAGTCGAATAAAAATATTTACGGCGTAACCGTTGTGTGTCGTATTTGACAATTTACACGACGCAATTTCCTTCTCTTTTAAAGCATTACGTTATGTCGTAAACTGAATTTTTTATATATTTGGGTCCCTACTTTTTATGGCACGAATGGTACGTCGTAAATAATAGTTTCTAGCTTCACGCCTAAACTTTCCCACTCTACACCTAACAAAAAATACGCGGGAAATTATAGCACCAGAATGAAATATCAAACAAGTGAAATTCTAGACCATTCCACTTCACCTTCCCCTTTCTTTCTCTTTGCCCTTCAGATTGCTCGTTTCTTTCACACCACCGTGACCCAACAGGATACCCAGATTTATTTACCCAAACAACTAACCCCTCTCTCCATCGCTTTGTCGCGGTCCATGGCCTCATCTCCACGTCGCTTGTTGTCCACCACCGAAAATTCAAGAACCCGAGAGATCCATTCCACCAAAACTCAAATCGACACTAAATCTTCCTCTCAAACACACAAGACCGCCATTTTTTCTCCCAATGTTCTAAGGTTGAAGTTTTTTTTTTTCAAATTTTTATTTTATTTTTATATAAATTTGGTTTTGAATTTACAAGTACTTTTCTCCAGTAGCCCCTCCACCTGCACATTCGCACTCCGCAGCCTCCAATTTGGGTTTGATTTTGATAAATCTATATGTATTTGTGCATGGCTTTATTATTCTGTGATTAGGGATTCTTTAACTTGATTATTATTAAATATGGAGGATTTTTTTAATCAGTTTTCTATTTGCTTTTTATTTTTCAGTATTTTTCTTTTTGCTGTGAATTTGTAGGATGAAATTATTTTTCTAGGATGCTTCTGTTTTTCTTGCTATTTAAAGGTAAAATCTTTTTGGCTTGTTGCTTATACAAGTTAATAAGAAAGGAAGGTTTAGTAATTTTAGGCTTCGTAAATGCTTTGAAATTGAACCATACATAATTGTTTAAGCTACCACTTTATACTCTGCAGTCAATTCCAAGAGCTATCATTTATGTTTTATGGAGAAGCAATTTTATTGTGTGAGGTTCTCTTTGAATCCAGAGCAGTGAGTGCTCTGTACTTGAGTAGTTTTAAAAATTAAAAATATAAGCCACTGTTTATTGGATATTAGGATATTAATGCTCTCAATTGTAATGTTTATCTTTTAGTTGCTCTGCATTGTAATCCTACACGTCCTGGAGGCTTATCTCCTCATCTTGCTTTTGTATACAAATACTTGTATCACTCATATGAAAATCAATGAATTGATCGGTTTTTACTAATGATGGAACTTGTGCTTATTGGTTATATTTGGTTTTTGGGATCACTATCTAATCCATGGTTTGTAATACAATTCAATATTTTTTGTCTTTTTTGTGTTTTTGGGCTTCAACATTTGGATCTTTCTGAATGTTTGGTTAATTCATTTTTTTATATTAATTTTCAATTACAAGTTGGTACTTGGTTGCTTGACTTCTAACCCTTTTTGTAGATTTTCTGGTTTAAAGTTTCAATGTATATTTCATGTATGTTTGTACAAGAGTGAGTCTGGGTATATATGAGAAGAGAGAGGGAAAAGAGATGGGAAGGATGGTTGCAGCAAGCAGCCGACAAGAAAGAAGAAGGCATGTTGCCTACCTAAGACATTACCCCAATCAGTCTCCTCCCTTAAATCAAGGGAAATGTGATTTACATACCCTTAGCCTAATGATTACAATGAGCCTTACCCTAGAGATTTAGGGGTCTCCTTGGTAGTAGACTCCATATGCAGAAATTTTTCTAACCAACAAATTGAACGAATTTTGTTGCCCGAATTTTGACTTGGGCAGTTCAATTCAGCATTAAATTGAACAAAAAAATTCTGGAGGAAATTGAACAAAAAAGGGGAGAGATGAGGATGGAAGACGAACCTGCTTGAGAAGGCGGATGATTTGGAGGTGGAAGGTGGTTTCGTTGACGACCCCACTGAAGCACGTGACTTGCACGCCACCGGCATCGCCGTCGTCGTCGTTGATGTAGCTCGGACCAGTCGATTCTTTGTGTTCTGAAATTTGAGCGGAGCTAAACGCACCGTTGGGAGCGCCGAGGTCTAAAACCACTACGCGCCATTGCTCACGGAAACGAGCAGAGTGAGACTGAGAAAGTCACAAGGCGGTTATAGACGGGCAAAGTGGGTTTTTCGCTTTTTACATTTAAGGGTAAAAGTGTGTCATCATCATATTTTATATATAGGGTGATTTTGTATAAAATCAATTAAAAGTTATGATATTAACAATAGGTCAATCAAATTTATTAGAATTATAAATAAGTCAATGATTTTAAGATATATTAAAACACCTCAATTAAATTAAAATTACAAATGATGTCATTACCATTTAAAACACTAAACGTTTCCATCTCCTTCATTGTAAATCGCGCGTCCCACCACCTTCAACCTTCATTTTTCAAACACTGCAACGCAGTGTCTGTTTCCTATTCTGTGATTGTGCATTCGGATTCAAATAGGTTTGTGGATTCAGATTCCTATTCTGTGATTGTGCATTCGGATTCAAATAGGTTTATGGATTCAGACACTTCGTTGCAGTGTCTGTTTCCTATTCTGTGATTGTGCATTCAGATTCAAATAGGTTTGTGGATTCAGACATTGCAACGCAGTGTCTGTTTCTGGTTCTATGGATTCAGACACTTCGTTGCAGTGTCTGTTTCCTGTTATGTGATTTCAAATAGGTTTGTGGATTTAGATATTGCAACGCAGTGTTTGTTTCTTGTTATGTGAATTCAGACACTTCGTTGCAGTGTCTATGTCATGTTGTGCTTTTACGTTAATGTGCTTTTACGGCGTCGGAGTCTCAATCTTCGCCACCAAGTTTCCCGGCGTATTTGCTACCATGTGCCTCACTCCCTTTGACGCCCAGAACGCCTGATCCATCAACAACTCCAACGTCCTTGCCGTCCCAAGCATGTCCACGTCACCCGACTCTGTCATCGAGATCCTCGACACCTGGCTTAACACCCCCTTTAAATCCCCATGCTTTGCCTCTGATTCCAAACCCTGGCCGCCCAAAATAGAGCCTTTCCTCGACAATTCAATCTAAGAAATTCGAAATTCGACCCCCAATTCAATTTTTGCAATTTTTCCAAAAAAAAAGAAGAAGAAAACTTAAAAGAGAGAGAGAGGGGGGACCTGTGGGCAAAGCAACTGGTCGATTCTCTAGCAGCCAAACTGGTCGATGAGCTTGTCGTAGTCGATTTTCCCGCCACCTTTGGCCGACACCATCCATGGATTCATTACCTGCTCCTCCTCTTCCTTCTGTTCTGGTTCTGCCTCTCCCTCTCTTTTCTCCATCGTCACTCTCTCTCTTTCTCTCCATCGTTCGCTCGTTGTATGTAAAAATCGGCGGCATCTTCTTCTTCCTTTCTTTTTCTTCGGAGGGTATTTTGGTGTTTTCATGGATTTTATAATGACTTAAAGCTTATGTGGCATTCATCATTGACCTATGCCTAATTAATAAAAATATATCATTGATTAAGTCTAAAATAAAAATATGTCATAGATATATGGCTTAAGTAAAGTTTTTATTGACCTTGGGCTAAATTACCTCTATATATATGCCAGGAAAAACTTGCAATGCAACTTCGTCATTTGATTCTTTATTTTTATTTATCCAACACAAGTGAGAGATGAAAAGTAGCGTGTAAGAGAAAAATAAGGATGTGAAAATTAATTCCGTAAAGTTGTAAAGTAATAAATATGAAAAAATTAAAACACATTCATTCAGAACTAGATGATGACATTTCAAATTCTCTAATCTCTATTGAACAATAACAAGTAAAATCGAACATCCTAGATTCAAATTAACAAACACATGGATCTTAGACTTTCTCTTAGCCCAATCCATCCCTTCCCCTCATAGTAGACCATCGCCATCCCCTTACATGTAGAATATCGTTGTTTAAAAATAAAAATTACTCACTTCCTCATTCCTCAAAGATCTGTATAATTTTTGTGACAAATATTTTCTTTTGCTTATTACCTCTTACTTGTTTAAACTTGAAATAAGGGGCAGAAAACGGAAGGATAGGAAGGAAAGCAATGCGACCATTTACTTTCAAAACAAGAACACAATGCAACCATCATCACAAATAAGTCACAATAGTTGAAAAGATTGGAAAACTGAAGAAATTATGCGGCTCATCTTGCCAGGATAAACTCACAATTCACACTTTTTGCCTTTTTGGCCAAATCATAACACACTTCGAGGGTTGAAAAATAATACAAAGAGCCAAGAAACTCTTAAGCTTCATCCACGATGCACTCAATTGCTTGCTTGCAAATTCCGGTCATTGTTGCCTCAGGGCCATAAACCTGCATTGAGAAACGACGTCAGGCTGGCAGCCCGTAACTTATAATCTATTTGTGTTTTACATCACCCTTTTAATGTTCTTCAAGAGTAAGGCTTGTTAACAACTGATATCAAATGTCAAAACCAGAAAGTCCTCGCATACCTCAAGAGGAACTCCGAGTTCTTCCCCCAAAGCACGCATCTTTGCCAAACCAGTTTGATAATTTGGACCGCCCCTTCTCACAAATATATGCATTCTTGCCGCTTTTAGCTTGGATTCCTTTGATGTCGCAAAAGAGAAACAGTTTGAGCATACAAAACGAAATAAACCAACTAGGCCAATCTATCTGTATGATATGAATGTCAAAATGTGGTGGTACCTTCTCCCTTAGGGCTCTAATAATTCCACTGAATGTAGCAGCTACGTCTGTGAAATTGGCTATACCACCTCCAATTATTAGAGCTCTTTTACGACCATCTGGATCAGCTGTTGCACACTGCAATATATGAGAATTTTATTGGCAGTTAGTGTATGCTACATGTAATGGTTGCAACTTGAGTAGTCAGACGAAGTACATACGAGTGGAAGTGTGTGTGTGTGTGAGCAAGAGAGAAGAAAGAGGTTTTCGTAAGATAAGAAAAGCTTTCTTACATCGACCACAACTCTTGCATATTGCAACACCTCTTCCTCATTTGGAGCTCCACTATACTCTGCATAATTTCCAAGTTCTGAAGCATAACCCAAATCTCCAACCTAATTCCCATAAATATGCCAGAATATTACAACAGGCCATGGTAGGAATTTAAAGGTTCCCAACGTTCAAAGAAACTGAGGGGAGAAATAGCAAAGGGTGCACATTCAATCAGAAACGATGAATTAAAGTCAAAAATGGAGACCCAAAATTTTGAAAGGGCTGCTACAGGGACAGTATAGCTATATGGTTGCAATACATCAGGCATTCCGGCTACTCACAGTATCAGCATAAATAACACTTGCACCCCCTCCAGCTACCATGGTCCAGATGCGTCCTTTTGGGTTCAACACAGTGAATTTTAAGGATGCGCTTGTCTGCAATATATATGTTTAACTTTAGTTTGAACAACTCTTAAAAAGTGCTGATCCTTAATGTAAATTGAAATTTATCATAAATTTCTTTCCGCGCAAGGAACAGTTAGGTTTTTACCTTTTCATCCAGAGAATGAATAAACGTTTCTGTAGGACTTAAGACTCTGCCGAAAGGCAGTGGAAACTCCACACTGCCCCATCTGAATAGTATTACAAATATTGTCAGAAGGAAAAATCAAACCAAAAGTAGTTAACTAAAAACAGGTAGAACTAAAGTTTGGAAAATCTTCAACAGAAATATACTTATTGAAGTTCTTGAAGGCAGCAGTGTCATCCAGCTCCCCCCTCATATCTAATGGATAAGGTTCACCGTCAACCAAGGTAAATGGGTTCATTTCCAGGAAACTAAAATCCAAATCTGCAAAAGAAAATCAGGAATGCAAACTTCCTCAGCAACAAGAGCATGTACCTAACTAATCATTACATAGCTAATCACAGTTTTACACTGTACTATACTTTAGTAATCCATATTGGACATTCGTACCCTGGAATACAGAAATTACGCCCTTTATGAAATCCCCAATTTTATCTCTGACCTGTAACAGCAGAATACATTAAGCATATGTCCCAAAACCAACAAAAAAGTTGAATACACAGAGCATAGTAGTAATAAAATGATGATAATCAAACGGATTCACAAGAAATACAACAACAACAACAACAAAGCCTTTTCCCACTAAGTGGGGTTTTTTTTTTTTTTTTTTTTTTTTTTTATATGAATCCTAGAACGCAATTGCGCTCGGTTTTGTGTCATGTCCTCCGTTAGATCCAAGTACTTAAGTCTTTTCTTAGAGTCTCTTCCAAAGTTTTCCTAGGTCTTCCTCTACCCCTTCGGCCCTGAACCTCTGTCCCGTAGTCACATCTTCGAACCGGAGCGTCAGTCGGCCTTCTTTGCACATGTCCAAATCACCGGAGCCGATTTTCTCTCATCTTTCCTACAATTTCGGTTACTCCTACTTTACCTCGGATATCCTCATTCCCAATCTTATCCTTTCTCGTGTGCCCACACATCCCACGAAGCATCCTCATCTCCGCTACACCCATTTTGTGTACGTGTTGATGCTTCACCGCCCAACATTCTGTGCCATACAACATCGCTGGCCTTATTGCCGTCCTATAAAATTTTCCCTTGAGCTTCAGTGGCCTACGACGGTCACACAACACGCCGGATGCACTCTTACACTTCATCCATCCAGCTCGTATTCTATGGTTGAGATCTCCATCTAATTCTCCGTTCTCTTGCAAGATAGATCCTAGGTAGCAAAAACGGTCGCTTTTTGTGATCTTCGCTAGATTGCTCCGGTCATTAGTGTGGATAAGTATATAAATGGATAGAGATAGGAAAGCAAACACAAGATGTACGTGGTTCACCCAGATTGGCTACGTCCACGGAATAGAAGAGTTCTCATTAATTGTGAAGGGTTTACACAAGTACATAGGTTCAAGCTCTCCTTTAGTGAGTACAAGTGAATGATTTAGTACAAATGACATTAGGAAATATTGTGGGAGAATGATCTCGTAATCACGAAACTTCTAAGTATCGGAGTGTGGTGTCGTCTTGACTTGCCTTATCTGTCTCATAGGTAGATGTGGCATCTTCTCTGGAAGTACTCTTCCTCCATCCAGGGGGTGGTATCTTTAACTGGTGGAGATGCACAAGGTAATGTATCAATTTCACTTGAAGCTTACTTGTAGTTTCAGGCTTGGTCAAGCGCAATACAAACCATGTAGTAGGAGTCCCCCAAGTCGCCGAGCTAGGGGGTCTGCTGAAAGAGGTGACAGACAAGGTAAGCAATCAGAGCTCCGACTGATTGTTCACCTTCTCCCCATCTTGCAGCAGCATGAAGGATAAAGAGAAGAAAAATGAGAAGAGATGATATGAGATACTTTTGCTTTTGAAGAAGTAACTTTCCACAGGCTTATTCTTGAACTGAGCTGGAGG